ACAATCTTGTCCCTGACATCCTTGGACAGCGCTTTGGTCTTTGCCATGGTGGGGGAGTTTGGAATCTGATTGTTTGATTGCTCCTGTGGACAGGTGTCTTTTATACAGGTAACAAAATGAGATTAGCAGCACTCCCTTTAAGTGACTGGTTCTAATCTCAGCTTGTTACCTGCATGAAAGACACCTGGTAGCCAGACATCCTGCTGAATGATAGGGGGTCATATACTTATTTTCTTCATGAACATGCAAATCAGTGCATGATTTGTTAGACATGCATTTCTTTTGAATTTTTTGTTGCTATTCTGTCTCTCAGTGTTACAATACACCTTCCATTCGATTTTTAGACTGATCATTTCTTTGTGAGTAGGCAAACATTCGAAATCATCAGGGATCAAATACTTATTTCCTTCACTATATCAGTAGAATATGCATGAAACATTATCAGCTTTGAACGTCCCACAGACCACAGAAACATCCACGCATCTTTTTATGTTACAATGCAGTCTACAACAAAGTCTAATGAAAGAATAATTTTTAATATGTTCTGCAATATAGTGATTCTTTGTCCAAAAACAAGGAATGTGGATGTTGCTCTGAGGGTTGGTGAACTTGCATGTATAGATGGACAGCACACACATTCATTACACAGTATATCATTTAGGCTCCATGCGCACTGGGCTTAAAAAACACTGTTCCTACAGGAGTTTAGCGTTCTGCCTGTAGAAGCAGCTCAATGTTATCCTATGTGTCCATGCACATTAGGATGTTTAAAGACATACCTTAAACTCAGTGTTTAGATGCTGTGATAATTTAGGGGTTGTATAACCTAATGGTAGTGCAAACAGTTAGTCCAGTCCACGTCATCAACTCCGTTTAAGGGCTTTTCTGCCCACTTTTCTTTAAAACAGCAAAGAAAAGTTCAACAAAAGACATAAGTTTCCCATGCAGAGGTTTACACATCACTTTAAATTTCAGAGCGAAATACTTCGCCTGTTAGATCACTTTCTTTGGAGATCCTTAGGCCTCATGCCTTGGTCCTCCTGATTGTCAGACACATGTCCCAGTGCTCCTACACCAATCGCTGTACCACTTTCAGTTTCTTGTCACTTTCCTGTAGCTCACTGCTGCTCTGCGTCTCTCTCTCAGGCTTAGGCCTCTGTCTGCCCTGTCCTGGACAGCATGGTGCATACATGTACCTCTTTGCTACCTTGCAGACACACACTGACACCAGAGAGGGTGGAGCGCTGAACTCTGATTCTGACTCTATTATGAAACCTAGCACACACCTGCACCATTAGTGCGACTATTTCTTAAAAATCCTGGCCTAGACTGCCATTTTACACACACCCTGCCACAAGGCAGAAAAAAAAAAACTTCTGGGTTGCGTATTTGAGAGGAGTTTTCTGACAGAAATAAACCGCTTAACTTTCCTATACGTGTGTGCAAAAACACTATAAATATTTTTTCTACCAAGGGAATTGAAGTTTTTTAAGCCCCGTATTTTTGGACCCTCAAGCATAAAGGGTTAGTGCACCTTTTCAATAAATACACCATGTAGTCAAGTGTGTTCAAAAACCCGACGCAGCTTTGAAATATTGTGTTTGAATAGCCATACCTGTAGGCCATTTGCATCCCCCCGAATCCTGGCCAAAAAACCATCTGTTAGGACACTCCCTAGCATCAGAGGAGTGAGCATTCTTCTATTAAATATTCCTTCGAATGGCTGTATGAGTCTATTTCTCTTTTTATTGCCATGTATACACTTTAGAAAAGTCCTTTGACCGTAGAAGAGATAAACATGCTCAAGCTGCCATTTCTTTCCTTCTACAAAAGGCTGTTCTTGACTGTCTCTGACTTCAATATTTGCTGAAGTACTGAACCAGAACAAGCACAGAGCAAGTGAAATCACAGGGAAGTGAGAACTTCTGATCTGCATACTTGTACTTGATCAGTGACTTAAAAAGTGTTGAAGGCAGTAAATCAGGATAAAAGGCAGGGGACTTTCATTCTCAGAAGTAGATTATAGCAATGGCAGCCTCCATCTTCCTTTAATGACATGCTTCCTTTAAAGAAGTACAGCCAAAGCTCGTTTGGCTGTACTTCTGTGGATCACAGGAGTGCAGTTCATTCTGCATGCCTGTAACCCATTTTCAGCTGACAGCGGACTGAAGCCTGCTGTTGGCTGACGTCGTAACTCTGGTCCAGGCAAGGGAAAGATCCTGACTTTAAAGTCAGGTTCCACCCCAGAGTCTGGAGCGTCACCTGGCTCAGCTTCTCTGCAAGCCTCTGAGAGCCTGAGATAGCTTCTCCCCTCCCCCTCCACAGCCCAGCGCTCCAGTGAGCACTGGGGAGGACAGAGTAGACAGCAGTGACTGACAGTCACCGCTCTCTGGTCAAAGCGGCTGTGAGAACTCCGTGGTCATGCTGTTGCTGAGTTCTCACACTTAGGGCCAGCGGGGGACAGATGCAGCATCGGACCACTGCATCCACCTAGGCTGCATCAACCTAGGTAAGTATTTTTTTTTTTTTTTTAAATCCCACACTTCTCTTTTAAGGTCAGAGGAGCATCCTCCTCATCATTCCTCCATGACTGGGCAATCCAGCAGCAGGAAAAACCAAATCACATTGATAAGACACGAGAGAAGAGTAATGTGTGGAGGATATAGAGAGCACTATATGCTCAGTTAACCATGATAATACATTAGGATACTTAGTTTAAAAAAAAAAGTGAACGTTATTTACAGTTGCATCTAATGAAACATGCAAGCACTCACAAATGTACAGTGCTGGTATCTTAAGAACCTATGGAATAGAAATCCATGCAGACACTGCTCATATAAATGAAAAGAATCTGTTGTGAGAGAAGTAAGGGAGGTGCCATTGCTGGCTTTCTTCCAAAATAGCTGGTTTCTTGGCTATCATGCTGACACATTGGGGTTGATTTACTAGCAAATAGATTGTGCAGTTGCTCCGGAGCTTAGTAAATGGGGTGAAGCTCTGTTGATGGCCAACTCGTGGAAGCAAAATGTTGATTTTTTTTTTTCTTGTGTATGTTTGGGTATTTTTTGCAAAGAAGCTTCACCACTTTTACTAAGCTCTGGAGCAAATGCGCTTGCCAAGTGCACAGTTTATATGCAATTAGTAAATCATTTCTGACACTTGTTTACAGCATGCATGTCCTAGGTCAGTGTCACACTCAGTCCTGCATTGCACAGGATGATGTAGGAGTGTCTGCCCATATTCTGACTCTGGAGAGAAGGGAATTGTAGATGGTCCGCTGTTGCTGCAACATGGAATAAGTATTATTCTGGGTTAGATCACCCCATATAGATGATAATCTTATAGATGCAGAAATTATAGTTTTAACTGACAATAAGTATTGAAGAGCTAAAAGGTGAGTAGGGTGCACACCATATGAACTGTGAATGAAAGTGAATATGTGTTAGACATTATATATCTATATACGGTATATATTTGGATATGCAAGGGGTATTCAAAAAGTTATTGGGAAAAAATTAATCAAAAGCACAATATTTTAGGAATAAGCCTTTTTTTTTTTTTTTTTACATAAGGTCAATCCACATCAAGACACTTCTGTAAGAGATGATACCAGCTCATTGTACCACCCCGAAGAACTGAGGGTCCAGAGAATTTAACTATGTCAAAGCAGCCTTGTTTACCTCATTAATGGTATTAGAATGGGTACCTTTCAAAATTGTTTCAAATTAGGAAATAAGAAAAGGTCAGAAGGTGCTAAATCAGGACTGTAAGGTGGATTTCTAATGATTTCACACTGAAATTCTCACAATATTGCCATTGATTGGTGAGAAGAATGGGCAGGGGCATTGTCGTGGTGGAAAAGGACTAGCTGTTTAGCTAATTTTCTCAAAACACATAATAAGTGAATGTTACTGACTTTTTCCCTTCCAAAAAGTCAACTAACAGAATTCCATCAGCATCCCAGAAAACAGTTGCCTTAATCTTTCCTCCTGACCTGCTTGCTTTTACTTTGATTTGATTCCTTTTAGACAGCCGTTGCTTCAAATGAGCTTTGTCTTCAGGATCATACTGATAAAGCCAAGTGTCATCTCCAGTTACAATTCACTTCAGAAAATCCTCTGGATTTTGATCCCTTTAGTTCAAAATGTTCATTGAAAGCTCTGTTCTTGTCTGTGGTTCATCTGGGTGCAACAGTTTTTGTACCCAACAAGCAGACAGTTTGCATAGCTTTAATCTCCTAGGTAAAATTGTGTGAACAGAACCTACTGAGATGTCTAGGGTGTTATTTTCTCTGCCGTTAATCATCGCCACCCTCTACTAAATTTCAAACAGCATCAATTTTATTCCTCACAAACTGTTGATGATGATCAGCCCCTTCGTTCATTGTTTTCAACTCTGTCTAGTCCTTCTCTGAAATGGGCTATCCTTTTGTAAATTGTAGATTCTATGGTGAATCAGCTCTGTAACCTTTTATCAGAGCAGTAATGATGTCTGCATTCTTCCAGCAAAGTTTCCACATAAATCTGATCTTGCTTCAGTTTTGTCGGAATTCATTTTGCTCCACAGATGGTCGACTTCACAGTGGCATAAGTTTCAATCTAACATTCATATATGCTACCGGTTCATATGTGTTACAACACAAGTCCAAGTCTACTCTGTTATAAACAGATATTAAATTGCTTGCTTTGTTTTTTTTTTTCATGAAATAATTTTCCACAAATGTTTAGATGTCCCTTGTATAGTGTGTGTGTGTATATGTTTTACAGCTGGTAATGTTAATCATTTTATATAATTGTTTTGAGAAGATAAAAGTTGACAGTGTTGAAAATCAATTTTGAGTATTTGCTTATTTTAAAACCTTTCTGTTCATATGCTTGTTGTCTTAAGAACTGGCATTGTGCTTGTATATCCTTCAGGATATATTAATATCAAAATAATATCAAATTTCTCTGATGAGACAGCAAAAATTTCATAAGGCGTTCTCTCTGCTCCTATTTCAGGTCCATTTGGCATTAACCATGGAGTTGAGCTTCATTCAGATGTGGTTGAATATGCAAAGGAGAAATTGGAGTCTTTCATTAAATTCAGTGATAGCTTTGATAAGTGAGTATTATCTTTGCTACGTAGGGAAAAAACTTTGAAACACAAGGTGGGGTTATTCAAACTTGGGGAGAATATTAAAAAGGTTTATGCAGTTAGGGTCCTTGAAGGACTTGAATCTATCTGATGCAAAGCTGCTGATGTACTCTATATCCCAAGTATTCCCTTGTTTGAATTTTCAGCCATTTGTTAACTCTTAGGGCTCGTTCACACTAGGCTGTTTTGCCAACGCTTGCCAAACGCCCCTATAGCGTTTGGCAAGCGTTGGTCCGGCGTTTGCGGAGCGTTTTTTAACACTCGGCAAACGCTCCGCAAACGCCGCATGCGCGGTTTAGCGGAGGTTGCTAGGCATTTGCCGAGCGTTAATAACGCCCCACAAACGCCTATAATGCAGTTTGAGTGGTGTTACCGCTCCGCAAACGCCCCGCAACCGCGTCGCAACCGCACCGCAAACGCCGGCCGGGCGTTTGCGGAGCGGCACCATAGACGAGAATAGGAGGCTTCAAAGCCTCCTGACTCGTCCAGAGGCGTCCGTTTTGCCGCGACGCAACGCGACGCGACGCAAACGCTCCCGTTAGAACAGCACCATGTGCTGTAATGTGCAGAATTGGCAGAGGCGTTTGGGAAGCGGTAAAAACGCTTCCCAAACGCCTCTCTGCCGCCTGCACACAAGACTAGTGTGAACGTAGCCTTAGGGTGGTGCGTTTACAACAGGTGTGTTTGGGACTGGTCTGAGCAGCCATGCCCAGTGCAGTCCCAGTGCAAGACAAGGCAATTTGCCTTGTTTACTGTCAGCTCAGTTTACACCACTGCAATGTGGTGGTGTGTGCTGAAAAAAAAGTAGAGCATGCAGTAGGTTTTTTTTTTTTTTTTTTTTTTTTCAGCTCAGCATGGCTTGATGCAGCCCTCCACTTCACAAATCGCTGTCGCTGATAGAACAGAGTGAAATGTCTCTTTGTGACACTTCATTAACCCCTTCCCACTCCAGCATCGCTTTAAAAAGTTCAGACCACCGTGGGGGCATGAAGGATTTGCGATCATGCTCAGTGGTCACATGATGGAAGTCGGTACATTCGGCTACTAGTGTTTACCCCAGACCGAAAACTGTCTTTCGGTGCCCACGTTCAGCACATAAAAATTGTCCGCCCAGCAATACATTTGTGTAGCCTGCAGGCTTAAAGCCACCCTTTTTCTGCAGAACATATGTGTTGGGTGGTCACAAAGGAGTTAGTTTTGGAAAAAGATTGCTGTGCGATGTGCTGTTTCTTGCTGATTGACACCGCAGCCTTTCATAACACACCAGGGTGTGTTCTAACGTAACTTCTGCGGTGAATGGGCTCCTATTGTGTACGGTCATATATGTAGCATCTAGTTGTGTACAGCTGTGGCCAAAAGTTTTGAGAATGACACAAATATTCATTTTCACAAAGTCTGCTGCCTTGGTTTATAGGATGACAATTTGCATATACTCCAGAATGTTATGCAGAGTGCCTAGATGACTTGCAATTAATTGCAAAGTCCCTCTTTGCCATGAAAATGAACCTAATCCCAAAAACAAATTTTCACTGCATTTCAACCCTGCCACAAAAGGACCAGCTGACATCATGTCAGTGAGTCTCATGTTAACACAGGTGTCAGTGATGACGAGGACAAGGCTGGAAATCATTCTGTCATACTGATTGAGTTAGAATAACAGACTGGAAACTTTAAAAGGATAGTGTTGCTTGAAATCATTGTTCTTATTCTGTTAACCATGGCTACCTGCAAGGAAACACATGCAGTGATTATTGCTTTGCACAAAAAGGGATTCACAGACAAGGATATTGCTGCTACTAAGATTACACCTAAATCAACCATTTATCGGATCATCAAGAACTTGAAGAAGAGAGGTTCAATTGTTGTGAAGAAGGCTTCAGGGTGTCCAAGATAGTCCAGCAAGTGCCAGTACCCTCTCCTAAAGGTGATTCAGCTGTGTGATCGGGGCAGCACATAGTGCAGAGCTTGCTCAGGAATGGCAGCAGGCAGGTGTGAGTGCATGTACAGTGAGGCAAAGACTTTTGGAGGATAGCCTAGTGTCAAGAAGGACAGCAAAGAAGCCACTTCCCTCCAGGAAAAACATCAGGAACAGACTGATATTCTGCAAAAGGTACAGGGATTGGACTGCTGAGGACTGAGGTAAAGTAATTTTCTCTGATGAATCCCCTTTCCGATTGTTTGGGGCATCCAAAAAAAAATGTGTCCGGAGAAGAAAAGGTGAACGCTACCATTAGTCCTTTGTCATGCCAACAGTAAAGCATCCTGAGACCATTCATATGTGAGGTTGCTTCTCAGCCAAGGGAGTGTGCTTACTCACAAGTTGGCCTAAGAACACAGCTATGAATAAAGAATAGTACAAAAATCTCCAAGAGCAACTTCTCCCAAACATCCAAGGACACTTTGGTGATGAACAATGCTTTTTCCAGCATAATGGAGCAACTTGCCATAAGGCAAAAGGGATAACTAAGTGGCTCGCGGAATAAAATATCAAAATGTTGGGTCCATGGCCAAGAAACTCCCCAGGAGGTGGGTGAACAAAAAAAAACCCCACAAATTCGGACAAACTCCAAGCACTGATTATGCAAGAATGGGCTGCCATCAGTCAGGATGTGGCCCAGAAGCTGACATACAGAATGCCAGGGCAAATTGCAGCAGTCTTGATATAGAAAGGTCAACATTGCAAAATTTTTTGATGAAGAATTCCTCCTGCGCTGTAATGGACCCCCAATCCCTACCTATCAGCTGCTAACACTCGACTGATACCCAACCAGTGCAAAATGAATAATAAACAATAGTGCAGCGCTAACAAACTAAATCACTATAAATACTACTTCATGGGCTAAAAAAGCCAAAAGCACCTACATGTGAAATACTTAAATAAAAGTATAAACATGAAAATTTATAAAATGTGAAAATTATAACACATCTTAAGGTGACCAAATTATCTTAGTGCCCCATTCCTGTGCCAACAATTAATAATAAAAAAATCACAAGCACAAATAACGTGATGGTGCCACTTCAAATCTCATAAATGAACAAACACATAAATATATAAGTCCAATAAAATAATTCAGTGACGCAGCATACTTCATGCAATGTGCAATTAGTGCTCAATCGTGTAAGTGCCAACACACTTTTCCACTCCAGCTGCAGTGCCTCCTCACCTCCTTTCTACGACCCCCAGGGGCCATAGAGCTTTCAGGATCACCCTGGATCCTCAACAATTCCGTCTGGTAAACCTCCTTAGTTCTCCTATTATGCCTCCTCCACCTTTTCTTCTCTGTGACCTATGAGGTCTTTTAGGCAGTATTTCTGTGAAATCTCACTCTCATATTAGTGAGCAAAAAAAGAGATCCTCCATAGTGTAGTAAATCAAGCTTGCAGGCGTTTATTTTATAAGCAGAAGTTACTCACATTGAAATACAGCCTCTTCCTCTCCCCTGCATGGGTAAACTGCATTCATGTGGTACTTCCTGGGAGTTTCAAGATGGCGTTCCGTACCGGCAGTGCGTCACTTCAAAACCGGATGCTGCGTATCGGCGTACCTACGCGTAACGTCACGTGGTCTCGTGACTTCCTCGGCGTACCTACGCGTTACGTCACGTGGTCTCGTGACTTCCTCGGGGACCCCGAGGAAGTCACGAGACCACGTGACGTAACGCGTAGGTACGCCGATACGCAGCTTCCGGTTTTGAAGTGACGCACTTGTTGTTGAGGATCCAGGGTGATCCTGAAAGCTCTGTGGCCCCTAGGGGTCATAGAAAGGAGGTGAGGAGGCACTGCAGCTGGAGTGGAAAAGTGTGTTGGCACTTACACGATTGAGCACTAATTGCACATTGCGTGAAGTATGCTACGTCACTGAATTATTTTATTGGACTTCTATATTTATGTGTTTGTTCATTTATGAGATTTGAAGTGGCACCATCACGTTATTTGTGCTTGTGATTTTTTTATTATTAATTGTTGGCACAGGAATGGGGCACTAAGATAATTTGGTCACCTTAAGATGTGTTATAATTTTCACATTTTATATATTTTCATGTTTATACTTTTATTTAAGTATTTCACATGTAGGTGCTTTTGGCTTTTTTAGCCCATGAAGTAGTATTTATAGTGATTTAGTTTGTTAGCGCTGCACTATTGTTTATTATTAACATTGCAAATATTGACTCTTTGTATAAACTTAATGTAATTGTCAATAAAAGCGTTTGACACTTATGAAATGCTTGTAATTATACTGCAGTATACCATAGTAACATCTGATAAAAAGATCTAAAAACACTGAAGCAGCTGATTTTGTGAAAATTTATATTTGTGCCATTCTTAAAACTTTTGGCTCAATAATGCCAGGAATAGCCAACAACTCAAGGCTGCTAGCGCATGGGGGTGTGGGACCGGTATTGTAACTCTTTCTCCTCTCCCTAGACAAAAACGAGCAGTTAACCTTTGCAGTGCGGGCACAGCCCCACTGCATGGGAGAACATTTTTTTGCTCAAAGATTGGCTTTAAGTAGGCAACATTGTAATTTCATAATTTTTTACCTTTTTTATCATGTCATGTATAATTTATGACGTTTTTAAGAATAACAGCACTAAATAACATTAATACATATTGGTAAATCAAGCAAGCTTGTAAATATTACCTCACACCTTTTGGTTTCTTTTTATTGGGGAGCTGTAAAGTAATACAATGTCCTGCTAGTTAAAATTTCCTTCTATTTCACAAAGTCCTTTACAGATACACATACACAGGACTACCTGAATCCCTTTGATGTGTGTGCTCACTAACTCACCATTGGCTGAACGGTTCCAGCAGGGCAGCATGTCTGCCTGAACAGATCCCTTGGATACCTACTTTTGTCTGACACATGCCTCTGCACCATTCCATTTTACATGGTTCCTGATTTTTCTCTGAAGTCGTACAAGTTTCTAGACAACATAATATTAGGCTGGTGGGAATTGAAGGCAGGTGTGAGACGCCACAACAGCTAATCCAGTAGTGATGAAGGCAGCTTGTGACCAGGAAATTTAAGAGAAAAGAATTTTTTACTTTATAGTCATCTTGGATGTACCTTTATTCTACTGGTTTTTTTTTTTTTTCTTGTATGGCATTGTACATGTTTATAATGTAGTTATAGTGTAATTATATAGTGCTGCAAAAGATATGGTCACATACCTGGGTAGTGAGCCTGACGTGAAGAGGCAGACCTCTCGTACAACTCCGGCTCAAGGACTGCTGAGAGTGGAATGGCGGTCGCAGGAGCTCGGCGGGGTATGAGGGCCTTGGATCTGTCCGGTAACAGCTGTTGGACTGATGAGTAGCAGGCCAGAGCAGGGTGCAGATGTATCCGTGCAGGATGGATGGATGCCAGAGCACTGTGTGCTGAGGATGCAGAGTCAGATGAGCCGGGTTCGATATTGACAAGACAGATCAGGATTAAACGGCAGGAAGGAGAATAGTTGGGACACAGGCCGGGTTCAGTAGTAGGAGGTCAATCAGGCAGGAGCAGGCAGAAGAATAATCCGAGGACAGGCCAGAAGTCAGGGCAGGAGGCGATCAAGCAGAAGTCAGGAACAGGCTGGTTTTGGCAACAGGAATCAATCACGGAAGTCAGGAAACACGAGCAGGGGAAAAGTCCATACGGCAATGAGACAACCACAGCAGTCAGTTTAAATAGCCCTCTTGGCGCCAGCATTAATGACAGGCGTGCGCCGCGAGCGCAACTGCGCGCGCCGCTGTCCAGGCTCAAGCACATTTGCTCAGCTTGCCAGAACCCTGCGCATGCGCATATTTGTGCGCCGTGGAGATTCACCTGTACTATGGGCAGGCCTTCCGTGACAGATATTTATGCTGTGTAAACTAATAATGCATGTATATTTTGAAAAAACAAACATTTTGCAAAAAAAAAAAAAATAAAACATCGCAGTTATAACTTACTACTGCTCTACTGCTTTACCTAGTGCTCATGCATAAAAGGGCATAATAATTCATGATAATGCACTACTGCATGTTGTGGTGTGCTTCGAAAATTAGTTGATGGCCATTTTGTGGTGTCTGTCAACGCGTGATAACGCTTGCACTAACCACATCAGCGTATATCCAGCATGAACACTTTATAATTGCTGTATTTACTATGGTATTGTTCATGAAATTTGATTAGCTTCTTGTTGTCCTTTCTTAGATTTGAATTTTGCGAACCTGCTTTTGTGGTTGGCAATTGTTTGGAGATTGCATCGGATAGTCCACAGTATGATCGAATTTACTGTGGAGCTGGTGTTCAGAAGGACCATGAAAACTACATGAAAATTTTATTGAAAGTCGGTGGTATTTTAGTTATGCCTATTGAGGACCAGGTGAGACTTCGTCAAATATATTTCTTCAATTATAATTTCGTCAAATTAACAATAACAAGCCAGAAAATGTGTAAATTATGATGTCTGCAAGTGATTAACAAGAGTCAAAACAAAACTGTGTACAGCAATAAAGTTTGGCAACCAGAATTGGAGGAGATGTGTGGCTTTATAGTATTATATTTAACTGCTTGCTGCCCAATGTACACATAAATATGGTCTATATACAGTAAAAATATGTGGCTGCAGCTACGATGCTGGTGTTGAATTTTTAATGCTGGCAATTGGCATTCCTGTAAAAGTGATCCAGACGACTGTCACTTTAGTGAGGTATCACTGCAAACCTCAGAGTGAAAGCGATAATTCTAGCACCGTAGCTCATGTTTAGCTTTAAGCTGAAAATCTGAGAAGATGTGTTTTAAAGCATTGCCTATGGACAATTTTAGGTTCCATAGTTTGTCACCATTTCACAGGCATGTGCAATTTTAAATGTCAACATGTTTGGAATCTGTTTATTGTCAACATTATTTTTATATTTATTCCAAAAAATTTAGTGTTTTTTATTGTGTTTATGTGCACTAAAAGGCATTTAAGTGTATTTTGTTTGGAATATTTGTATTTGAGAAACGGTTGCTCAAATATTGTGCGATATAAAAAATTGCCAGTGTTTTATTTTCCAGGGCCTCTGCTTTAAGAAAATGTATAATGTTTGGGGGTTCTAAGTAATTTTTTAGCAAAAAAACCTGCAGTCGTGAAACTATGGAGCTTTTACCTAGGTCACAATGTAATGAAGAAATGTAAACATTATGTGCAAGTTGAGAGAGGATCTGCTTGATAGTTTTAGTCCTCATGCACACTGGACATTTTGACAGCTGCTGTTTTTGGCTTCTGGCTTTTTTTCCTACAACCAGTAAACTCCCCAGCATGTTATCCTATATGTTCATGCATACACAGGCTTTAATCAGCGGTTTGTGGCAGGATCTTTTTCTGGCTGGAAGAAAAACCCAGAACTAGTGGGTTTCAAGAGGAGTTTTTTGGCTGTAAAAATGCTCTAGCACTGATAAAAACTGAAAACCGCTAAAAAAACACAACTATTTGGTGTTTATGAGCGCTTTTGGAGCCTGAAGATTTTTGTGGGAGTATACCTTTGCTAAAAAAAAAAAAACCGCAAAAAGCTGAAAAACACTAAAAAACACTGAAAAAAGCTAATGTAAAAATGCTAAAAACCGCAAAAAAACTCTTGTTTTTATTGCAGAATTCTACAGCTAACACTACTGGCGTTTTTTATTTAAATCAGTTTATCATTGTTAAACATGTGGGGGCATATGTATAACTAAAGAGCTACATGTTCTCTTTATCTTTTTATAGCTTACTCAGATCCAGAGAACAGGGCAAAACACGTGGGAAAGTAAAAACATTTTAGCAGTTTCATTTGCTCCTCTAATGCAACCAAGTAAAAACGACAACCACAAACCTGAGACTGTGAGACTACGTAAGTATTTACATCCTGATTGATTGCTAATTTGAAATGATTATTCATCCTAATAAACAGGAGTATACAGTCCAAAAGAAATTCTGAAAACCCAAAGTAACTAACTAGATATTCTGTGTTAGAATAGATTTGAATTATCTTGTGTTAAACTTTTCTGAAATTGCAGCTCTGACATAAGTTTGCGCGAAGGTACAGGTAGCCTGACACATGCCAATTTATGGCCTGTTCAGGTCCTCCCTAAAACATTTAGCATTTATTGTGTGCCTGCAGGGGGAATTCTTAATACAGATTTGTATAAGGTAGGCACTTGTAATGGCTGTCTAACTACATGTTGTCTGTGATAAAGTCCCTTTTAACGCTGGCTATATACACAATGAAAAATATCAATCATTGATTCAGTAGTCTGACAGTTTAAATGGTTTGAAACCACAAATAAAAAGATTTGGTGAAATATGATTTTTCGCCATGACTGATTCTGTTGTCAGTAAAAATTCCGCTTTATTGATCAAATCACTTATTTGTTTTGAAACATACATTTCTTTCATCAAAAATTTGTCATATAGAACAATTGTATCATTATACATACGGCAGGCATACAGTAAATACAGATAACATTTTTAAAGTAGACCAAATGTTAGGTCTTGCACAGTTTGCCACACATCTCTCAGCAAGGAATAATTAAAATATTCAAAATGTTACATGATTACTAACCTCAAATGAGGTTACCTTATGCCCCATGCATCAACTGCTGTCTTTCTCCTTGACCCGCACCAGCAGCACCATTTTTTTCCTGTCCGTGGGGATTGTCTTTCTCTTTTTAGCTGTGGAGGGTTACCTCTTAATGGTTGATTTTCCAGTTGCTTCTGCCATATTGGTGTGCTAGTTGAAAGTATTCATCATCTTACAATGTAGAATGATATAGTCTAAAATTCTAAACAGCCATAGAAATGAGTCTAGATATTCTGTGTTAGAAAGTAATTCATACTTACACATCCATAATAGATTTTTATATTTTAATTACCTTTTGGTTTTGAAAATGTTGATGTTAAAATGCAAGTGTTCACACAGTGAGGTGAGGAATTGTTTAAGGGCCAGTTCACACTACATGCGTTTAAGTGTGCTTTTTTCTGCATCCAAGGTGCACAGAAAATAGGTTATATGGTTGTCAACGTCATAGTTCACATCAGTACTTACAGCTCTAGGGCATTCCAGTTTGCAGAAAAAAGTATAACAGGCTGCATTTTTCCTGCCCATAACTACTGGAATGCGGTACAACGCATACAAATTTGCACTGGATCGCACCAAAAATGCACATGTCCCTATTGAAATTGAACAAAATGAGGGGGGGGGGGGGGGGGGAAACACACTGGAACACGTCAAAGATGTGCATGCAGAAACGCATTGACCTCATCTGGTCTGCGTTTCCATGGTGTGAACCGGCCCTTATAGCTACAGGTAGCGTGAGACTCAAATGATAGAGAAAACTCCTGTTTTAAGCTCGCTTTAATATGTCTCACAGAAGAATGTATTACCATGTGCTCTAATCACCCTAAACTCAGCTAAATTTAAGTTTTTGGGTGGTCTTTATTTTCAAATAATAATGTATGGTTTAACTGGGAATGTTGACCGTTATGGTGTCTTGAAAAAGTATTCATACCCCACATTTTCCACATTTTGTCATGTTACAACCAAAAACGTAAATGTATTTTATTGGGATTTTAAATGATAGACCAACACAAAGTGGCACATAATTGTGAAGTGGAAGGAAAATGATAAATGGTTTTCAACATTTTTTACAAATAAATACAGTGGATATAAAAAGTGGATAAAAAAAAGCCATATAATAGCAATCAAGGAGGAAGGAGCCTGACTATGGCGGTGAAGGAGAGCTCGACGTGAGAGCTCCCCAATAGCCAGCTGCCTGCACCGCAAGTGTCCTGCCAAGGCTGCCAAATGATGCCCGCAAAGTGCCCAGAGACCTACCTGTGAGAGGGGGGGTTTGGAGGCCCAGAGAGAACTGTGGAACGAGCCGGCTGGAGAGGTGGATGGAGTGCCCGACATCCACCGCGGTGGGACGACTACGATCTCCGTCCGGAGCGGTGGGTGGTCTGGAGTCTGGAAGTGGGGGCGACCTCCCGCAAAGGAGTACTTGGAGGAGGAGAAGCCGACCGGCAACTACAGACGGAGGAAGATGCAGGCACTCTCCTCGGGCATAGGAGGCTTGTATGTGATCCCCCATTCATACAGACACATACAGGACCGGGAAAGTAAAGGACCCTGCGGGGAGAGTCGCCCATTAAACAAGAAAAGCGGCATTCTAAGTAAAGGGGCTGTGGGGAACGCAGCCCCCAGAGGGAAGAGCCAGAAGCCATTCCAAAAAAGTGAGAAGACAACAGGAGGGTGAGTGGAACTGTATGGAAAGGAGCTGAACTGTACTGTGAAATTGGGGGGGGGGGAGACTATCCAGGGGGTCCAGGAGAAAAGGAGGACAAAAATCATTATAGCACAAGACCTATAGAAGTGGGCAGAGGGAAATTTAAAGTGACAAGCGAAGGGACAATAAAGGAAGAGGAAACCCCCTCACCCCCCCAGAACTTGGATAGGGGAATTAAGCTTTACAACGGCATGAAAAATAAAGTGGCCAAAGGAAGTGGGCCCAAGGGTTCCCTAACAGGTACAATTAAAAAAATATATACCCTCACAGGGGAATTTGACCGCAGAAAGACAACAAGGAATAAGTGAAAGGAGTGAGCTGGAAATCAGTGTGGAGGACAGTCTTAGACTATCCCTGGGAATGGCTAATAGTGATCAACGAGTGAAAGAGTGGTGGTGGGAGAACAAGAAAGCGACCTACAGATGCCAAATAAAAAATAAATGGCAGAAATGTTTAAAGGTCTTGAAAAATCAATAAAACAAGAGATGGTGATAATACCTGGGGCAAATGTTAACAAGAGTGGAAGAGACGGAAGGAAGAGTGAATAAAAAGGCTCAAAATATTCTGAAATTAGAAAAATGGACGATAGAAATGAGAAAAGAACAAAGAAAGCTGCTATATAAAATAGAGGATCAAGAAAATAGGGATAGGAGAAGTAATCTAAGGACTCGAGGAGTACCAGAGATTTCACATGGAGAAGATTTAATGGGTATAATATGTAAAATGTTGAACACTATAATGGATAGATCTGCATCAGAGACTCTTAAACTGGACGGTGTATATAGAATAGGAAAGCTCCAACAAGAAAAGGGTAAAGAAAGGCCGAGAGATATAATTGTATAATTTAATAATTATGGAGATAGAGAAGAGATATGGAAGAAGATCGAAGGAAGAACAGTAATTAAATATGGAGAAATAAATATTCAGATTTTTGCAGATTTGGCTGCAGAGACATTGACAAGAAGGAGATCCTTGAGACCATTGTTGGAGCAGATGAGGAGGCAATATGTGCAATATAGATGGGGCTTTCCGTAGTGTTTAATCGGATGGAAAAATGGGTGTACAGCAAGACTGAGATTTCCTGAAGAGATGAGAGACTTTCATGTGAGACTTGATTTGCAGAGAATAGAGATACCTGGGTGGGAAGAAGATGAAAGAGAGATATGGGCTATTGGAAAAGAGGACAGTCAGGTAGCTATAAGAAAAAATTAGAGTGGAGGGGAGAGGGAAGAGGAGAGGGGTTTTTTTTTCCTCTACCCGCCCCTCTTTCTCTCTCCCTTCAGCCCTCCCACTCCGGTGGGTGGCTGGAGACTTACCTATGGATATAGAGAATGGCAGGGCATGAAGGACGATAGGTAGCTGGTGAATTGTACATAGTCGGAGTACAACCTTAAAGTCGAATCAAAAGTGAGATTAGGACTATAAATGATTTGTAGGCAAAAAGGTAGTCTAGGGGATAGGGAGGGGAGTGAGTTGGGATTTGGGGGGGTGGAGGGCAGAGGGAGGGATAAGGATGACACTCAGCCAAAGAAGAGGAGATAGAAAAAGGAGAATCCTTGGAAAAGAAAGAACGGAAAAATTTATAGTAATGGAGGAGGTTAATTTTATGATGTATAATGTCAAAGGGTTAAATAGTCCGTAGAAAATATTTAAGATACTTAGAGAAATACAAAAAAGATCTATTGAGGTAGTGTTTATACAGGAAACTCATTTAATACAGAAAACTAATGTGAAGTTATATTCTAGGCTCTACCCAATATGGTGCTATGCAGACTCCCCAACTAAACGTGCAAAAGGAGTAGCAATTGGGTTTGCAAAGAATATAAGGTTTAGTTTGGAAGACAAATTGGAGGATCCAGAGGGGATATTTTTATTTTTAAAGGGGAAATTGCAAGAGGTAGAATGTACATTGGCAAATATATTGCCCTAATAAAAAACCTGAGGTCTATCTAAGAACATACTGAAGGAACTTTTAGATTTTAAAAAAGGTAAACTAATTGTGGCAGGAGATTTTAACTGTTGCATGGAACCACAGATGGATACAATGTCACATGTGCTAAGAGAGGGCAATAAATACTTGAAAGTATTAGACAAGACAATACAACGTCAGTTTGTGGATAGTTGGAGAATTAAAAATCTGAAAGATAGAGACTATACATTCTATTCTCATGCACATGAGACATACTCAAGATTGGATACATATTGCTAGATCACAGACTTATTGAGTCTTTGGTGAAAGCAAAAATAGAAGTTATAACATTATCGGATCATGCACCTGTCACATTGAGGCTTATATGGGGAAAAGAGCATAAAAAGAGTAACACGTGGAGATTAAATGAGATACTTCAGGATCAGGAGACGGAACAGACAATTAAAAGAGAAATAGAACAATATTTTGAAAGAAATGAGACTGAGGAGGTGTCTGTAGTGACGGTGTGGGAAGCCCATAAGTCCTATATTAGAGGAATCTTAATAGCGATTGGAGCGCAAAAGAAAAAGGAAAGAGGGAATTAACACGCTTCTTAGAGAATTTATTTGAATTAGAACAGGTACATAAAAAGAAAAT